CTTTTCACAGTGCGATCAGCCAGCTGGAGTAGCATCGAAGTCGGCCTGGCCCTGCCGATGCCCAATTTGGTGTATATAGCCAGCGACATCAAATTTATGCTGGCTCCCAAATCACATAATGCCTTTGCAAAGGCATAACTCCCAATGGTGCATGGAATAGTGAAGCTACCTGGATCGGACATCTTTTGGGCTATCGGTTTTGCCACCACTGCGCTGCAGGTTTGTGTTAGAGTTACGGTGGATAGATCTTGAAAATCAAACTTCTTTGACATTAAATCTTTCATCATCTTGGCATAACCGGGCATCTCCCTCAAGGCATCCATCAATGGAATATTCAACTGGATTTGACGCAGCATCTCTATGAACTTTTTGTATTGGTCTGCCTTCTTTTGCTTGACCAGTCTCTGAGGGAAGGGTGTAGGTATCACCCTTTGTGCATTGCTGGCTGGCTTCTCTCTGTTAGGAATTTCTGGCTCAAGAGGTGTAACCTATTCTGCAACTTGCTCGGTCTCCTTTTCTTTGCCTTTTTCATCCCGACTCTGCTCAACTACTACTTCAGTGAGTTCTGTTGGTTCTTCTACCTCTAATTGAACTGGAGTAGCTGGTGTAGTATTCTTGCTGGCTTGTGCAATTTCCTGCTCTCTATCTAAATCTCTACCATTCCTGAGACTGACTGCCATCAGCTGATTCGGGTTTTGCTCCTTGGGATTTATGTTCGTATCTGCAGGTAAAGTCCCCGGAGGACGGTTGTTAAAGGCCATGGACAGCTGACCCAGCTGCGTTTCAATATTCTTTATGGCTGAATCATGTACTGCCAATTTTTCCTGCACTTTATTATTTGTCCCAATGAGTTGTTGAAGCATACCTCTAATTTCCACCATGTTGTTGTCTTGCTGCTGAGGGGGTGGTTGATAAACCAATTGCTGCTGATTCTGCTGTGGATAACCCTGTGGTTTCTGATAAGGCACTGGCACTAATTGGTTTTGAGGGTGAATACCCCCAGGCTGCTGCATATTAGGCCTGTACTGCTAATTTTGCTGCGGTCTCCACTGCTGTGCTCCTTGTCTCTGACCCCCATAGTTGTTGACATAATTCATATCTTCCCGGACCCCTTGATTTTCACCTTCTCCGCTCCATGAACACACATAGGACTGATTAATACACGGTGTGCATAGTCCTCCATTTGTTGTATCAACGATGTGCACCTGTTTTGTACCCATCTCATCAATCTTCTTTGTCAGTAGGCTCATCTGGGTCAGGAGTGTGGCCATGTTCTCTTCCTGTGAATTATTGGGATCAAGTGGAACTGAATGCACTATGGGTGCCAGTGTTGCACTTCTAGTCATCCACCCCACATTTTGTGACATCTTATCGAGGAGAATTTTGCACTCGGTGAATGTTTTGCTTAAGAAAGCACCTCCAGATGAAGCATCCACATTTGCTTTCAAGTTGTCAGCTAGACCCATAATAATCTACTAGACGCACTTTCTCAAGCTACGCTAGCTACTTGCACAATACGGTTCACTTAGATTGCACCCGGGGTTTCGTTATCTCTAATCCAACCCCTAAACCCTCGGTTATGACTCTCGTCTATACTCCGTGAGTGATGTTCATACAATCACCTAAATATGCACTCTCTCTCAAGAAGATACATAATAAATAGGAACGGATAATTGAGGGCCCTTTCAACTAATCCACAATCAAAACATAGATGAACAATTAGAGATTAACAATCAAATCTAATTATATTGATAAAAAAACCAAGTTATTCCCAACGGGTTCCACCAAAACCTTAGATTAAGGTTTTTAGCTACTCATGACAATGGGAAAATCAAATACTAAAAGATTCATAATCATAAATTGCAAGAAAATAAAGAAGAATAGAAATAATGATGTTTTGGGTGATCTCTCACACTTGTTTTTCTTGCCAAAGTACTCTCTAATAATGTTACATGCCTCCTTTGGGCGAGTTCTAGTATTTAAATAGGGTTTTGGGCTAAGAATTCCGGAATTTGCACTTCAGTCCCTTAAGTTCCCGTCGCCTGCCGCGGTCCTACCGCGCCCACGCTGGGACCGCGGCCAAATGGCCTCTCTGAATCTCCTCTGACAGCTCATCGCGGTCCTACCGCGGCAGTTCACCTCCAGGCCTCGTTTGTGTACTTCAAATGGTTCACTCGGCGACTTTGATGCGATTGGCTTCTTTTTCTTCCATAAATGATACAAAACCACTCCATAGCCTTCTTCTAATGTATGTAACTGAAAAACATGAAAAGCACTAATAAGAGCATTTTGCTATCACTTTTACAATAAAAACTCTACAAGAAAGTGGTTCTTTTGGGGCTTAATCATAGTTCAATTCACCTGTTATCAACACCCCACACTTAAAGCTTTGCTCGTCCTCGAGCAATTTAAACCACACTTCTAGGCCGAATCGCTCAACGAGTTACCCAATTTTATGTCACACCCGCCATTATGAAAGAACTACTTAAGCAGTGCAATTGTCACACCTCAGATGCAGACTCTAATGCCATGCCACACACATGCTCACTCTAGTTACTCTACAGAGGTGAAAACTTGTTGTTTCTTCCTGAGTCACATGCCCTCACATCAATAAATTGAGAGAAGTTCCACACATATAGAATCAAGCACACAAACTCTAGATAGAAAGAATTCACTCACTCTCAGCAAAGAACATTCATATGCCACACAGATACACCATAAGCTTGCCCTTAGTGTAATACTCTACTAATCGAGTTGTTTTAGTCTAAGATCAAGAGGTCTNTGCAAGAAAATAAAGAAGAATAGAAATAATGATGTTTTGGGTGATCTCTCACACTTGTTTTTCTTGCCAAAGTACTCTCTAATAATGTTACATGCCTCCTTTGGGCGAGTTCTAGTATTTAAATAGGGTTTTGGCTAAGAATTCCGGAATTTGCACTTCAGTCCCTTAAGTTCCCGTCGCTTGCCGCGGTCCTACCGCGCCCACGCTGGGACCGCGGCCAAACGGCCTCTCTGAATCTCCTCTGACAGCTCACCGCGGTCCTACCGCGCCCACGCTGGGACCGCGGCAGTTCACCTCCAGGCCTCGTTTGTGTATTTCAAATGGTTCACTCGGCGACTTTGATGCGATTGGCTTCTTTTTCTTCCATAAATGATACAAAACCACTCCATAGCATTCTTCTAATGTATGTAACCTGAAAAACATGAAAAGCACTAATAAAAGCATTTTGCTATCACTTTTACAATAAAAACTCTACAAGAAAGTGGTTCTTTTGGGGCTTAATCGTAGTTCAATTCACCTATTATCAAATATATATGAGGATCTTAAGTCTGGAGAAACAATTCAAGTAGAATTTGGTTTCATATGAAAGACATGTAGTTTTGGACCTGCAGTTCAAACACTTGAAAGTATAAAGTCAATGGTATGTGCAATCAGTTTTCGGTATCTTATTTGTCTAGCATGACATGAAAACTTGATATGCATCTAATTAAAGTCTATTATATGACTTATATGACTTAACTTATATGAAAATCCTTGAAGGATTTAAATCGCTTAAAGCATATACAATTCTTGGTCCTGAAGTACCATATCCTAAATGCAATTTGTGCACATATGTATCTTGCTATAACTATAAGCATGATAATATGACAGCAAGAGTTTTTACCCCTATGTGAAGATATTGAAATGATGATTCCAACAAAATCATATAAAGACAATACATCTATCAGGAATGATGATTTCAAGGTGAAACAAATTCGTTGAAGTTAATATGGCTGGTTTGTTTATCAAATATCTACCAACGATCTTTTGAAGATGGTGCACAAGATTGGGATGCGAAGGCTCAAGGATGTGAATTGATGCTCTCATCAGGGGGAGCTAATGCGCGTTGCACTCTTTTTCCCTTACAAGGTTTTGTCCCACTGGGTTTTCCTTGCAAGGTTTTTAACGAGGCAACCAAAAGGCGTATTGTTAGATATGTGTACTCTTTTTCCTTCTCTAGAATTTTTTTCCCACTGGGTTTTATTTTAGTTAAGGTTTTAACGAGGCACATTATCTGTTGAATAGACACTCAAGGGGGAGTGTTATAAATAGAATTTTATTTATGGTGAATGTCTATATTTAGAGAGATTCTAGGGTTTATTACTTGGTGGCTAAGTCACCCTCTCCCTATAAATAGAGGGTTCTATTTCATTATAATTCATCCAAAATCAATAAGAATTCTCTCCCTCTACTTTTCTTTGCAATACTCTTCTTCTTTTATTGGTTTATAACAGCATAAAAGTTTTTCTTAAGCTTTTAAGTTCAACTATAATATGATGTATTAAGGAAATGAATCATCCTCTTAGCTTTTAAGATGAGGTTGACTTGAATAATTTAGAAATGAAATAAACTTTGATTTTGCATGTTTTCTTTCACCTTTGATGCAGTAATAGAAAATGGATTTAAGCTAATTATATGTATACTGATTGTGTACAAATATTTTACTTATATTATCAGTGTAGCTTAACCTGTGATAACAAATTAATTATTAATGTTTATAGTAGAAATTAACTTGTAACTACCTTATTTATTGTTTGAATTTAGAATAAATAACACTGACTCATAACACACTTCGAAACTTTGATTCTTATTGATTACGTAATACATATAGCATTAATCAACAGAGGAAGGATGTGGTACATAGCTTCATGTACCAATGGAACCTTCTCTTACATTGTTACAAGTTCAAATCTCATTAATTTTTTGATTTCTACTGCTTAGTTGAATTTTCTTTATTCTCATGTCATGTTTATCTATTTTCTTCAACAACTTCTACTTTATTTTCAACACTATTAAGATTTCGAATTTCAAAAAAAAAAAAAAAAAACGGAGGGTGAAATGGGATCAATATACACCAAATCATTTCCACACTGTTACACTAATCAAACGGCCACGATCCACCGAAGAAATTGTGTACATATATATACACGCTCCACACCTTACAATTCCCCTCATTCCAATTTCAACTGCTTCGAAACAGAAAAAAACCGCCAAACCAAAGACCGCTCTCTCATGGCTAACTCATCGCTCCTCACTCTGTTCCTCATCCTCTCCATCATCTCCACCACCAACGCCGCCGTCAACTTCACTAGGCCCACCACTTCCACCACCATCAACTCCACAATGCCCACCACCAATACCAACACTACCGCCACCGCTGGTGCCGTCAGCTCCACCATGCCCACTGCGGCCGTCAACTCCTCAATATCTACCGCCAACGCTAACACCTCCACCACCGGTGTCAAATCCACGATACCCACTACAAATACCACTGCCACCGCCGTTAACTCCACAAGACCCACCACCAAACCCACCGTCACCGCCGTCAACTCCACAAGACCCACCTACAGCAACAATACCATTACCCCACAAGAATTGGACACACTCCTAGTAGCCTTGCGGTACCGCGGCTACCCTCTCTTCAGCAACGCTATCGACACCTCCGACGTCCAATTACAAATGCTCTCCACAGTAGCCGACACTTCATCGGCATTCACTATCTTCGCTCCAAAAGACCATTTCCTCTACACCCTCGATATGGCCTCCGACGCCGATGCTTACGTGGCCGCACTCTTGTGCCACGTCATCCCTTCTCGCCGACTCACCATCACCCAACTCCGCAACCTCACTTCTCCGTATCTCGAGACCCTTTTGCCCCATTACAGTATCCTGGTCGGGAAGAGCAAGAGTGACGACGTTTTTGTTACAGTTGATGGAGTTCGGGTTTCGGATCCGGATCTTTATCTCGGGCCAAAATTTGTTGTTCATGGGTTAGACGGGATTCTTCTGACCGGGTTTAATATGTACGAGGACACTCTTAGCCATATGGGCAAAGGATTTTTTGCTCCGGAGATGGGGGAATTCGTTGGTTCTCAAGCTGGACGGAAATCTGCGGTGGCGACGCCTAAGAAAGCGTCGTTGCCGGCGGCGAAGATTGGAGGATTTTCGAGAATTATGAGGAAGCAACGGAGACTGCAGTATCGCCGGATTTGGAGGAGTAATTACAGTGTCCGGCGCAGCTATGACGGTGGTCGTATAGAAGACGATTTCTAGGGGCATTACTGTAAATCTCGGCTTCTTCTGGGGCAAATGTGCCTTCTTTGAATGTTGTAACAGAAGTGAAAATTAGTGAAAATGTAGAAAATGTGAATTCCCGACTGAATATCAATGAACTATCGATAGGTAATTGTTGTGTAAATTCTCATTTTTGTTTTTGGAGATCAGAAATTACTCTATTCTTTCACTTTTTATCTTCTATAGTTATTTGGGAATTCTGTACAAAATGAAAATGAACAAAGATCCACTTAATTAATCCTCTTTGCTGAACTTTTTTCTTAATAAAAACTTGGCGAAATACATAAACGATCCCTCCAAATTGTCCACAACGGTCAACCAGACACCTCAACTGACCCATTTATCATTTTAACACTTCTTCTCCACTAAAGTACGACCTCGTGAACCCTTCACGCTGACATGGCAAAGTGTGTGCTTTATACTTAATTCTAAGCGCGTGAAACCCTTAAAATTAAGGTTTTTTTTCTTTTTTCTTTTAAATTAAGGTTTTATTTTAACTTTTTCCTTTTTTCTTTTAAATTAAGATTTTTTTCTTGATCCATCAACTCTTAAAGATCCCCCTCCATTTATATAATTTTGGAGGAATACAACTCAGTGAATTGTCTTGACTTCCTTTCACGTTTTTCGTGTTCTATCATCAAGAAATTATATACTCCATTAGCTTGCGTGGGCAGCCATTTTTTGTGTGTAGTAGTTATCTAAATTTCTCCTAAATCACCTCTGCCTCCATTACAAAAGAACAAAATTACCAAATATGTCATCACACCAATCGAACAAATTTTTTATACCAAACCCATTCTTCTCTTTTACCTTCTCCGAATCTCAAGCTAGCAGAGAATAGCAGAAGCCAAGAAAGAAATTGATGGGTCACATGGCTGAACAAAGAGACACAGAACCAATTTCGACGGAAACAATGGAGGTTGCCGGAATTTTTTTGAAGAACCCATCTGATTCTTCTTACGCTCTCTCTCTCTCTCGCATAAAAAAAATGGAGTTTCTTCTTCTGCTTCTTCTGATTCTTCTTACTACTAAATCTCCACTAGATAAACGCCCTCTTTCAGTAAAATCGTTACTTTCTCGGAGATCAGTTTTCCGGTGAGGTCCGTCAAAGATTTCCTTAGTGGAAAGTGGAAGTGGTCTGATGGGAAAGAATTGAAGGGAAGTGGTCTGATGGAAAATTGTGTTTTCTTGGATGGAGAGTGTAAGAAGA